ATATCGGATGGCAAAGCCAATCATACATTTTTTTTTTTAAATAATTGACTTTTTTAATTTGTTCGCGGTGTCCAGACAAGTCCAGTTTGTTTTTTATTTTGTCCAGTTAATAACGATTTTCTATCTGACAACCCTAGTTGTGGATGATAGGAATTTCATACGCACGTATTTACATGTGTACGCATATAAGTATGTTGGTTTGTGTATGCATTAATTCTCCGGCAATGTCGTACACATATGCATATGGATGTATATCAGTGTTGTCCAACGTGAATGTGTGAACGTAATGCGCACATTCGGAAAGTTACAAGCAGACAACACGAATACGAAACAGTGCGTACAAATAAGTAAACGTACTTTTTAAAAATTACGGTCAACTAAATTATCTATATTTATTTCTTTATAATATTGCTTAATTCTAATGAGATCAGAAATGTGATTGTTTGATAGTAGATTTTTATATTTGCCTTGAATATGCTTTAAAGTGGAAAATGCCTCTTCGCAACTATATGTTGATCCGAACATTGAAAATATTTTTAAAATTTCATCTTTCACTAGTGGATACTTTTTTTCGTCAATCATTTTCCAAAAATCAATACCGGAATCAATAAGCATCGAGCGTATTGTGTGAAAGATTAAAGCCCACCGTCAACAAACTGATTGGACCTTATCAGTGTGGCTTCAGACCTGGAAAACCAACAACCCACCAGATATTCACCATGTGCCAAATCTTGAAAAAGATCCGTGAAAGGAGAATCGACACTCACCACTTCTTCGTCGATTTCACAACTGCTTTCGACAGCACGAAAAGGAGCTGCCTTTATGCCGCGATGTCTGAATTTGGTATCCCGCAAAACTTATACGGCTTTGTAAGCTGACGTCGACCAGCACCAAAAGCTCCGTCAGAATCGGGAAGGACCTCTCGATGCCGTTCGATATTAAACGAGGCTTCAGACAAGGCGATTCCTTATCGTGCGACTTTTTCAACCCGCTTCTGGAGAAAATAGTTCGAGCTGCAGAACTAAATAGAGAAGGTACCATCTTCTATAGGAGTGTACAGCTGCTGGCGTATGCTGATGATATTGATATAATCGGCCTTAACACCCGCGCCGTTAGTTCTGC